TAGTACCTCCCCCACAAAAGGCCAATATTTTGAAGATGGGGCTTATCGGAACACCCGTTCTAGTACCTTCCCCATAAACAGCCAATATTTTGAAACTCTCTAAATCTTATATGAAACAAACTTGGGTCATTGTAATATTTTTACATAGCCTAAATCGAGTCCTAAGATGGGTCAACTCGTTCTGGTACGTCCCTCACAATCTGTCAAAATTTTAAACATTTTTAAACCAAAGCAATAGTGTGGAATGTCCGATTGCTCATCGTTTCTTTCAAACTTACTTCAAGTTGAAGGATGGGGCCAACCGTTCCACTCGTTCTGGTAACTCCCACACAAAATAATCAACAATTTCCTTATAATAAATTTTATAATATCATCCGAACGGACTATCCGATTTAAACTAAACTTTGTACAACATAATATTTTAAGCATGCCTGTACATTGATGGAAGATGGGACTTAACAACCTCATTTGAAACCTCTTCAAAGATGGTAACTCTTAAAAAAATATATACCTTATATAAAGCGAAACTTTAAACTTGTATTTTTTCCGTAGACCTCCATTAACCATAGGTTACTACTTAGGACATTGAATAAATCAAAAACTTTTTTTGTCTGTTTTTCTAGTCGCTCATAAAGCCTCGATTATGAACCGAACATAGCAATCGCCTTTTTGTATTGAAAATTCAAAAAGTCGAAGTCGAAATTTGATCTTTGAGGAAATCGCAAAGTCGACTTTTCACGATCGACTTTCAATTTTCTTCATAAATACTCAATTTGTTTTCACAAAGCCCAAATTGCCCAAAAATTACACATTCCAGAACTTTATTTTATTTGTTGCCTACAATTCATATAAAAAATCAAATTTACAGTCCATTTCGAAAATCGGTTTTGGACTGTTTTGTCAAAATCGAAAAGTCTGAAAATCTACTTTTTGGTAAAGGCAAAAATCGTCTAAAGTCGACTTTTGCATGAAGTTGGGGTTATGGTCAATTACGGCATCTATAGTTTTCAGTGGTGATCGGATGATATATAGGGGATGGCATAGACCAAACTTTTTTGTCTGTTCTTCTAGATGCTCTAGAGTTCATAATTATGGCGCCAACGTCACGAATTGTACTCTTAGAAGAGGTTCCGCTAACGAAGAAGCATGGCTCTTTTGCTGATAATCCGTCAATATTTCACGGGTCAAATTGGTTGTCTAGAGTATCATATGATCGACGACTTCCGACATTACTGCTCTGCTCGCAGGGGTTTAAATAAACATATTATACAATTCTACCCCATTGTACCAAATACTACTTAATCTATATGTTCCAACTATAAAAAGGTGTTGCAATAAGTTATGTTCATCACCTAATGATTCATTAGGTCAACGTATGTGTGTTTTTTACTATCGACATCATCTTGGACCTCTAATGTACAACAAATGTTACTCCACATCGAATGACAATCTAACACCAGAAATCAACTTAATCAAGTCATTTTGTCCTCCAGCTAACCAATTACCAGTGACAATACATGAATAACATTGTCCTCTAATGTTGGCACTTAATAAATTTCTTCACACAGTCTTTGGCATCATCATCTCCCCCCTTCTTCAAAGAATTCAACATAACTTTTTGGCAATTTATTATGGTGCAGTTTAAATTTGACATATTTTTTCATTGGTTGACAGAACACCAAAAAAAACCGCAGGCACCATCACAACAAAAATGGTAGAATTAATGAAACACCAAAGAGGATGGATGGCAACTAGGACGTCGATATTGTCGACACTAGCACACTTTAGTGCTGCGAGAAAAGAAGGAACAACTTAAGGATATCCTACTGTTCGGTATTTTTGTGTAGCAGGTGTTTGTTTTATTATCGGAATCGTTGCTCACTTCCAAGACAGTAACAAAAAAGAACGCCATCAACAACAATAAAGAACTATCAAACCACACCAGCAGTAGTCTCCTCATTTGTTAGTTCGTTTCAATTGCAACACCAAATAGAAATGGTGGTGGTGGCGGTGCAACATTTTAGATACAATATGTTTTATGCCTGGTTGTGTGGTACCTATTTGAATGTTAGTTTGTCGAGGCTTAGCTGAAAGTCACGTCATCTTAAGCTGAAAGAAGAACAGCTGAAATGCCTTATTGTCCGTTGTTAATATTTGCCAGTATGGCGAGACAATGTCGATTTTGTTTGCTTGCAGAAGCAGCAGCAAGTACTCCACTCGGAATGATGATAAGAATTTACTGATAAAATTGTTTAATCATGTTTCGCTTCAAATAACATTTCCATTTCATCCCTAGATGAAAATAGTTTCAATGTTTGTTATGTTGTAAGCATTAAATATTTACTGTTGCCAGTAGCATGCAAATAATAAACATTACATTTTGATGTCAATGTTTGCTGGGTTGTGATGAATACATCAATGATAACACTCGTTGCTTTTTTTAAGATTAAGGTCTTATATTTAAGCCATTTTAATGGCGTGGATTTTTTAAAGAATATTTTTTCAAGGACCATCCAACAAGGCGCGGATTTTTTAAAGAATATTTTTTCAAGGACCATCCAACAAGGCGTGGATTTTTTAAAGAATATTTTTTCAAGGACCATCCAACAAGGCGTGGATTTTTTAAAGAATATTTTTTCAAGGACCATCCAACAAGGCGTGGATTTTTTAAAGAATATTTTTTCAAGGACCATCCAACAAGGCGTGGATTTTTTAAAGAATATTTTTTCAAGGACCATCCAACAAGGCGTGGATTTTTTAAAGAATATTTTTTCAAGGACCATCCAACAAGGCGTGGATTTTTTAAAGAATATTTTTTCAAGGACGTCAGATTAGGTTTTACTTTCATTCATAATGACTTAGCTCAATTAGCAATTGTCACATAAAAACTATACACATTTATATATTTGCAATCAGTCCATGATTTTATCAAGCTGGCAAATCTTTACTACTTAATGCAAAAATCGAATTTTATTAGCATTTTCAACTGGAAAATGTTTCCAATATGTGCAAAAATTTATAATTAAAATTTTATTACATTAAAATATTGCAAATGAGTTAATTGGAAGTACAGTCGGACCTTCATAATACATAATGGTGGCCCAATTTTTCATGTATATTTAAGCAGTAATTAATAAAAAATTTAGTGTCATCTCGCCTAATTAAGAATTTTTGAACTACTCGGAAGTTCAAATCAGTTAATTGAGGCCCCACTGTAACATTTATATTAAATCGACGTTGTTTGCTTCGTCAAAACCTGTATAAATAACAATTTGCTATGAGTTCGTTGAGTCATTTCAACTCATTCATTCCGACACAGTTGGACTACACGATTAGTTTATTCGAAACGTCATTTTAATTATGGATTTTTATTCGGAAAATGTAGTAAACATATATTCAGCGGTACAATTAAAAACCAGTTAAAAATTCCGACTTAATTTGAAAAATAACTATATTGATAGTCGGAGAGAGAGGGAGAGCAAGAAGAGAGTCATAAGTGCAAATATTTACCGTATTCTCTAAATAATTATTTTAATTGAAATATTTTTTATTTATTTTCAGAATACCCCAGATGAATATTCTTCCCGAAGATTTTCGTTCTGTTTTTCCAGGTAAGAACATTGTTTTCATTTTTTAATTAATGTTGAGGCGTAGATTTTTAAAACTAGATTTTTTCCAAGGACCATGAGGCGTAGATTTTTTCCAAGGACCATCAGGCGTAAATTTTTAAAAGTAGAATTTGTTCCATGAGGGCGTGGATTTTTAAAAGTAGATTTTTTCCAAGGACCATGAGGCGAGGATTTTTAAAAGTAGAATTTTTTCAAGAACCTTAAGCTTGGATTTTTAAAAGTAGATTTTTTTCAAGGACCATGAGGCGTGGATTTTTAAAAGTAGATTTTTTCCAAGGACCATGAGGTGTGGATTTTTAAAAGTAAAATTTTTTCAAGGACCATGAGGTGTGGATTTTTAAAAGTAAATTTTTTCCAAGGACCATGAGGCGTGGATTTTTAAAAGTTGATTTTTTCCAAGGACCATGAGGCGTGGATTTTTAAAAGTTGATTTTTTCCAAGGACCATGAGGCGTGGATTTTTAAAAGTAGATTTTTTCCAAGGACCATGAGGCGTGGATTTTTAAAAGTAGATTTTTTCCAAGGACCATGAGGCGTGGATTTTTAAAAGTAGATTTTTTTCAAGGACCATGAGGCGTGGATTTTTAAAAGTAGATTTTTTCCAAGGACCATGAGGCGTGGATTTTTAAAAGTTGATTTTTTCCAAGGGCCATGAGGCGTGGATTTTTAAAAATAAATTTTTTCCAAGGGCCATGAGGCATGGATTTTTAAAAATAGATTTTTTCCAAGGACCATGAGGCGTAGATTTTTCGAAAGAATATTTTTCCAAGGACCATGAGGCGTGGATTTTTAAAAGTTGATTTTTTCCAAGGACTATGAGGCGTGGATTTTTAAAAGTTGATTTTTTCCAAGGACTATGAGGCGTGGATTTTTAAAAGTTGATTTTTTCCAAGGACTATGAGGCGTGGATTTTTAAAAGTTGATTTTTTCCAAGGACCATGAGGCGTGGATTTTTAAAAGTTGATTTTTTCCAAGGACCATGAGGCGTGGATTTTTAAAAGTTGATTTTTTCCAAGGACTATGAGGCGTGGATTTTTAAAAGTTGATTTTTTCCAAGGACCATGAGGCGTGGATTTTTAAAAGTTGATTTTTTCCAAGGACCATGAGGCGTGGATTTTTAAAAGTTGATTTTTTCCAAGGACCATGAGGCGTGGATTTTTAAAAGTAGATTTTCAAGGATTACTGTTATTTAATCCTTTCAGAAATTCTGGAAGATTTACAAGATATTGTTCATGACTATGGACAGCACGAAACATTCCTGTGGCTTAAAAGGGTAAAGTGATTTTGATACAATTTTATCCACTATTTTGTTTTTATTAAAATTATAAAAGCAATAATTTAGGCTTTGGAATATAATTTCCAAAATGCAAATATGAAAATTGCCCAGCTCTCAATTCGTACCTACGAAGAACTAGTTAAGTCGCAAAACTTTAAATCTCCCAACCTGAAACATGCCTACATTTTGGCATGGTGTGCTGAAATTTTTAATATTGCCATCTTAATATTTGACGATGTCCTCGATAATGGTGAAATGAGGAGGGGTATTCGCTCTTGGCATCGCCTGGAGTCTATTGGTCTCAACGCAATAAATGATGCCTTTATAATGGAACAAATGATATATGCTTTGCTTAAGAAACATTTCTCTCATCTGGAATGTTATACCAGCATATCGTGGAATTATTTCGTGAAGTTTCATTGCGTTCGGCATGTGGTAAACATATGGATGTTATGTATTCGAATAAATCTGTGACAGAATTCGATCGGGTGAATTACAATAAAATGGCTATAAATAAGGGATCGTATTATAATTTTTATTTGCCATTTGCTTTGGCAATGTATTTGGCTGGGTAAGTACTAAATCATGTGAATTTTAATTATTTGTATTTATATCGAAACTCATTAGTCTTTCAGATCCCAAAATCCTCCAACAAAGCATGGACATCTTCTCGGAAATTGGTTTATATTTCCAAATACAAAATGATTTTCTAGATTGTTTTGGCAATATTCAGAATAGTGGTAAAATTGGTACTGACATTGAAGATAAGAAATTTTCTTGGCTGGTCGTTACTTGCCTGGAACTGGCAAATGAGGAACAGAAAGAAATTTTAGTGGAGTGTTATGGTTCTAAAGGTAATAACAAAATTGGGATTTAAATTTTATTGTTTTATCAGAAATCGTTTTTCTTTTAGATCCCCATAAAGTCGAAAAAGTGAAAGGCTTGTACAAAGCCCTAGATTTGCCAAGCATTTATTATACCTATGAGAAAAAGTCTTACGACAGGACTAAAGCTCTTATAAATAACTTATCGAATGGAGTGCCACAAGAAATATTTTTAGATATTTTAAATAAAATTTATCAATGCGTTTTCTAAAGACTCAATTACAAACCTCAACAATTTTTTTCAATGGGTACCAGTGCCTTAGGTCTATATTTAAGTGTTTTAAAAATCAGTGTTCATTGACTATGAGGCATAGATTTTTAAAAGAATATTTTTCAAAGGACTTTAAGGAGTAGATTTTTAAAAGATTATTTTTCTCGAAGGACTATCAGTGCGTAGATTTTTAAAAGAATATTTTTTTCGAAGGACTATCAGCCCGTAGATTTTTAAAATATTTTTTTTAAGGTTTTTAATATCTTTTTCAATGACCATGAGGCGTAGGTTTTTAAAATAATATTTTTTAAAGGACTAGACGTAGACGTATGAGGCGTAGATTTTTTAAAGAATATTTTTTTAAAGGACTAGACGTAGACGTATGAGGCGTAGATTTTTAAAAGAATATTTTTTTGAAGGACTGGACGTATGAGGCGTAGATTTTTAAAAGAATATTTTTTTGAAGGACTAGACGTATGAGGCTTAGATTTTTAAAAGAATCTTTTTTTGAAGGACTAGACGTATGAGGCATAGATTTTTAAAAGAATATTTTTTTGAAGGACTAGACGTATGAGGCGTTGATTTTTAAAAGAATATTTTTTTGAAGGACTAGACGTAGATTTATAAAAGAATATTTTTTTGAAGGACTAGACGTATGAGGCGTAGATTTATAAAAGAATATTTTTTTGAAGGACTAGACGTATGAGGCGTAGATTTATAAAAGAATATTTTTTTCGAAGGAGGCGTAGTACTTTAACAGAATATTTTTTTTTGAAGGAGGCGTAGTACTTTAACAGAATATTTTTTTCGAAGGAGGCGTAGTACTTTAACAGAATATTTTTTTTGAAGGAGGCGTAGTACTTTAACAGAATATTTTTTTCGAAGGAGGCGTAGTACTTTAACAGAATATTTTTTTCGAAGGAGGCGTAGTACTTAAACAGAATATTTTTTTTTTTCATAGGACTATGATGCGTAGATCTTTAAATGAATCTTTTTGAAGGACTATCAAAGTGTAGATCTTTAAAAGAATATTTTTTCTAAAGGCGTAGATTTTTTAAAGAATATTTTTTCGAAGGACTATGAGCCGTAGATTTTTAAAACAATATATTTTTCGAAGGACTGTGAGGAGTTGATTAAAAAAAAAATAATATTATTATTGAAGGACTATGAGGCGTACATTTAAAAAATAGTTTTTTCGAAGGACTATGAGGCGTAAAACAATATTTTTTCGAAGGAATATGAGGGGTAGATTTTTTTCGAAGGACTTTTAAAATATTTTTTTTCGAAGGACTATCCGAAAGGAATATGTTTTCAATGACGTTGAGCCGTAGGTTCTGAAATATATATTTTTAAGGACAATGAGCCGTAGGTTCTGAAAAGTATATTTTTAAGGACAATGAGGCGTAGGTTTTGAAAAAAGACGTTCCAGCCTAGATTTTGGAAAGATTTTTTTCAAGAACTATCAAGCGTATATTTTTTTTGAAAAATGTTTATTTATGAACTATGCAGATCACATTTTTTAAGCATTATGAAGCATTGATTTCTTTAAGATATTTTGTCAAGGACTATCAGACTTAGATTTTTAAAATAATATTTTTTTCAGGGACAATCTAGCGGAGATATTTTAGGAATATTTTTTTAAAAAATATCAAGCATCGATTGCTTCAAAAATACTTATTTTCAGTACCTACAACGTAATTTTATTAAGAATTCTTTTTCAAGGACTATCAGGCACAGATAGGCTTAAATTTTTTATTAGAAGATATTAAATTTAAAAACATCTTCACATATTATCAAGTGCAGACTTTTTAAATAACACTTTTTTCATAGACTATTATTAATTTTTTTTTTAAAGATCATTTTAAGGTACATAGTCCATAGTCCTTAAAAAATATTGTTTTAAATTTTAACGCAGTTTTTTGCATAGTTTTGAAAATCTTAGATTTTTATAGAATATATTTTTTTCAAACACTACAGAATATTTTTGTTAAAAGAACTATCTAGTCGTAACCAGGATTTTTATTCGAGACATCGTAAAATTTTAAATATATTTTACGATTAATTGTTCGATATACGATATAACCCCCTAGTGGTGATTAGTATAATTACAAAAAATTTGTTTTGGTTGGTGTCTTTGATATGAGTAATGTCATTTAGCACCATGCAACAAAAGGTGGCATTTTAGTATATATCGTAAAGTAAGAGAAAGTCACACCGAATATTCGATGATTTAAGCCGAAGATTACTCATTGTTTTGATACTCGTAAACATTATGAAAAAAATGTATAAAAAAATCAACTATCAAATACCTTAAAGTAACTAGAATCGTTTTGGTTTGTCAATAAAATTCAGGGCTGAAAAATGCATGACTTGGTTTTATAAAATATACCGAATATTTTTCCAATGAATAGCCAAATTTTTAACATTTTATAGTATCAAGTTATAAATTATAAATACAATTCTCATTATTTCTCATTTAAATATTACAAAGACAATTATCAGTATTTTAATATTTCCCTTCATAATTATTTTTTAATTACCATGAATTGTATAAATGATTACAGCAAATTGTAAATCATTTAAACTGCATTTACTTATATGCCCACTAATTAATATTTATATTTAACAATGCTTTTATAATAATGACGATGCCATGTTTCTATATTTTTTTCATCATTTTTATAAATATGTATTTCCTGGGAGTGGAAACCCCAAATTCTTTCACCAAAAGTTCATTCGGGACGAACTCTTTACAACTACCACCATAAAAGAACCGGAAGCAGTTAAAAAAAAATAAACACCATATACAGACAACCTTATGATTGATCTAGGTTTTATAAAAATATTTCAAAAGCAATGAGCGGAGCAGTATAGTCAGTCGGGGTCGACCATATGATACCCTACACAACTTCCACGAAAATATCAGAATATAGAATCACAGAAAATATCACTTTCTGTGATTTTATATTCTGAGCTTGGGCAATATATCGCGATATTTGCACCCTCTTGACCGACCAGATGTCAACAAAGATTACTAATGGTCAGTGCAGCCCTTCTAATTACTTGTCCATATTCCCTTAATTGTGATTTCGGCTTTCAATTGTGGTTTTTTAGTTTTTGCTCCACCTCATCCCAATATTATTATCTGTTCATCACCGAAAATTAAACCTGGGTCTTCATACCTGGATTCTCATGGAAAATTTCAAAGCGATTAGCGCTATACTTTCGCCCTCTAGTGTTGTTATGTGTTACTAAATATTATCTGAAATATTTAAGTGTAACTCCTACATCCGAGTATATACATCAATATAATTGGTTTCAATTTAAAGGTCAAACACTCCTCTTGGGTATACTATCAATATAAATTTCGTCTGGAGCGACCAGAAAACCCGACAAAATTGTCTTCATTGGCCAGAACCCAACCTACATGCAAAATTTGGTGAAGATTGGTCCATAACTGCGGCCTGTATCATGTTTACAAATTATAATGGACAGACGGACGGACACACATGTCTAGATCGACTCAGCTAGTCGAGATATGACGATCGGTATACATAAAGGTGGGTCTAGGACCAATATTTCGCGGCGTTACAAACTCTTGGGGCTGCACATAGCTATAATACCCTGACAACATGGTTGTGTAGGGTATAAAATGTTTGGGCAACTCAAACATTCCGTTCGCATTATAATCAACATAAATGTTTTCTCAAATGTTAACCTTGTTTTTTATGATATAACATTACTAGTGAATTGACTGAGTCTTCAGTCGTCATCAGTCCGACGAACTCATATTGTATGAGGAAAGAAGAAAATACTCGTTAAGTTCAGCAGGGCTAAACATTCTATAACTCCACCAATAAGTGTCTACCTTTTTATTTTAAATACCTGTAATCGTTCGAAACCTTTCTATGTGGTGGGCTATGGTAAATTTTGGTAGGATGATTTTACCCCAATGAAAACGAAATTAGAACCAATTCTATTAAAATCATACCCATAGTCCTCATAATACCGGATAATTGGACATGAACATAAAAAACATATTTGGTCACTTTAGGTTTTGATTGATTTGACCATCGAAATATTGACCGATCTAAAACGCCGTTCTATGTATTTGGTCAGATCCCCTTCACCGTGGCCTCTAGAGCGACTAGAAAATTTAACAAAAATAAAGTTGCAACCTCTAAATCCTATCTCTAAATCGAATCTCAATAACACCGAAAATTATAGGAGTCGTCCAAGACCATTGACGGAACTTCATGTACAATTTCAAAGCGATCAGCGTGACTTTTCCGTTCTTTAGTGGTAATAATAGTAATACTAAACAATATCAGAATACGAAGATCCCTGTAGATATTTACGTATGAATCCTACATCCAATTACATACAACAATATAATTGGTATCAATTTAAAGGTCAATCACTCCTCTTGGATATATTATTGTCTTTCCTTCTGGAGTAAATACATACAACCGATATTATAAACACAAAAGTCTGGGTCCATTTGACCCGCTAAATATTGACCGATCTTCATCAAAACAGTCCTGCTCATTCTTTGACCAGATTCCCTTCCTTGTGTTCCCTTCGTGATTACAAATTATAATGGACAGATGGACGGACATACATGGCTAGATCGACTCAGCAAGTCGAGATATGACGATCGGTATACATAAAGGTGGGTCCAGGACCAATATTCCGCGACGTTTCAAACTCTGCACAAAGCTAGAATACCCTGACAACAAAGTTGTGTAGGATATAAAAACCGTTGTTATGTCCGATCTAAACATGGATCTGAGTCACAAAGTTTTCATAAGGAGATTGGGACTTTAAAAAAAATTCCGAAAACAGGCTAGCACATTTATACTGAAGTTTTTTCTACCCTCAGCCTTTGCTACGGCTAAAATGTACCTCATCTGAAACATGGTTTTTGGCCACATTTTAGTTTCGACCAAATCCGTATTTTTTCCAAACATAAATCAAATTCGAAACACTGGTTCTGGTGA